TAGCAGATGTTAAAACTAGAAATATTTGTGTATGCCTTTATTACTGTATCTGCTGACAATCATTCTCATTTTTTCCTGTTTGGTAATGTGAAGGTAGATGTTTTAACTTGGAAAGAGTTTGTAGTGAACTTGCCTTTTATATCTATGATGTAACATTTCCAGACCAGTGAGCTTATGTTTCAACTAAACAAACTGCTAATGTTATTTCAGAAACACATAAGGATTCAAGAAGCTAAAGTAATAGAAGAGAAAGCAGCTAAGATCAAAGAATGGGTAACAGTTAAGTTGAATGAGGTATTTATTGCCATATCTGTCTTTTCTTTACCTTTTGGTTCTTTTGAATAGAAAAGTCATCAGAAAATCTGAATGAAACAAAATTCTGATCAGTTGGTGGTGCTGCTGGCTTTTGGTAAATGTGAGATAGGTAGCTATCATTTTAATGTATTTCTAAAATTAAAAACATTGATAGACTTGTGGTAATCAGTATTAAGTACCCTCATTCTGATTAGTTGACTTTAGTTCTCATTAGTTAATATTAAATAGAGAATATATGTGTATATCTCATAAAATTAATGTATTCAGTATCTGAGAAATACACATTATTTAGTTTATATGGCAGATTAAATGCTGGAATAACTTGGTATTTTACTGTGGAAAAAAGCATAGGAATGAAAAACAATGAAAACTTTTAGTTCTTAAAAAGAAATATATTAAAGCTGCAGTAATCTAGGTTGGTAATCTGTGCTGATAAATTCATCTGATGTTTACTTATTTCTTTTGTATTTTGCTCATGTGTAATTAGATATTAACATTTTCTAATTATTATAATTTACTAGTATATTTTAGAAAAATTATCCCTGTTTAGAAGAAAACCATTATGTTCTTTTAGCTGGAATTGGAGAATCAGAATCTGCGTTTGATCAACCAAAACCAAACTGAAGAAATAAGAACAATACAGTCAAAACTGCAAGGTACGAGCACTTTGACTAAGACAACCTAATTGGATTCACTTGCCTGTTACTACTGAGCACTTGGAGTATGACTACCACAACTAAGGAACTGAATTTTACATTTTATGTAATTTGAATTGACTTAAATTTAAATAGCCATACATCCATATCAGCATAGCTAGACAGCAGTGAATAACTCAAAGGAAGTAATACTAATTTGCACATTTAATCGGAAGTATGTTTACTTTTAAAAAATCAATCTTGCTGTTTTCCATTTTCACTCTGTAGCATTGTGATCAACAAGGACTGAAATTTTTGCAACCTAAATATTTTGAGCAGAATTTTATAATGTGAATTAACCTTTTGCATTTTTCCAATGCTTAGGGTTACTTTCTTTCTTTTCAACTTTAAAGCCTAAGGATAGGTGGTAAAGTTAAAGATAGAGATTTACTTATTATGCTACTCCTTATGCTCAAGTGCTCACTGAGCTGAGGAGGAGGTGAATCAGCAGGGTGTATGGATAGCCCATGCATATTAGACCCATGGCCCAGTATAGTGCTTTTCAAACTTTTATTTAGGAGCAGAACCCTTTTGAAAACGTTTTTTCCCCCCTGTAGAATCTCAAGAGATAAAAGAGGTAAAAGCATTATTGGGTGATGGGTCCAGAGTTCTGCAGACTCAGTCTCACCTATGCCTCTTCTTGCATTTCTTGTATCCTCTGTGACGTTTCCACAAAGCCCTGGGGTTTCCTAGAATGCTAGACGCTACTCAGTTATCAGTTGCTATTTAGCTTAACCCTTTGCTGCTGTAATTTCTTTGGAAACTTTTCTTACTGTCACTGGGATCTCCAACCTTTTGATCTTAGAAGCAGCAATGCTACAAGTCCCAGAAGATGACTTAAACCCATGCTTAGGTGCGTGAGTAATCACTACCCTAGCTGTCTAAATTCTCTATCTAACAACTGTCCCCCTCCTTTTTTTTCTCTAAGGATGTGATTAAGGCTCTTCATGTTGTGGTCACCATAGACCAAGCCCCTTCATCTGGTTTCTTATGAGAAGCATACTGAAAACTAAGCTAAGCAAAAAAGTTATTCCAGTGATCATGTGATATTTGCCCCAGTGATCATCTAAATTTTCCTGGGTTGTCTTGGCAACCAGGACCTCAGCCCCTTTTTTCTCACTGATGGTAGCATTTCCAAGCAATTATTTTTTACCAATACTTGA